ACGCACGCAAAGACGTGCAAAAAATGTTTTCAAGCATTTTGCTATTGAGCCTATGGGACAAAACGTCCTGAAATCTGCCCCAAAGTATCTCATGTACTATTTTAAGTGACAGGTGTATTTCTGCTTGCGATAAGACTCACAGGTATGAACAGGGGCCTCAGAAATGAATGGGATTCCTTGGGTGGAGCATTTTGTCGTGCTGAATCAGCTTAAAAAATTTGCCTAGGTGTGAATGGAACCTTAAAGTTTAAAATAAAAGTTTAAATGTGAAAGTTTTATTAAAATGTCAAAACAGAGTGCAAAAAAACACTTCAAAATCACAAGCTCACTTTTCCTGAACCCCCTCCCATCCAGAGATCTTCAGTTATTCCCAAAAATAATATGGGATCAGCTTGCTGTGGACCCATGTCCAATTCAAACCTGAAGCTCATGCCTAATCTTTGTGAAGTTCATATAAACATAAACTGAGGTTATGCAGGACAAAACAAATCCAGTAGGCCAGAAAGCCATCTTTTTTCAGTTGTTCTCTATTATGAAGGTCATCGATTGTGGAACAGTTTACATGTTCCACAATCGATGAAAAAATCTAAAGTTGGTTTCATAAATTTGCTGGCATCAGCAGGGCCGGATTTCCCACGAGGCCCGGCCTCGGTGTGAAAGGGAGCAGAGGGTTGGCAGGGGTCTGGAAACTCCTGATGCCCAGGACATGCAGTTCTGAGCACGGCGTGGGTAGTTGTTTTCTACATTTAGCTCTAAATGTAGAGCGGGGGAAGCAGCTCGTTCATTTACTAAGTGATTTTGGCGATGTCGCCAAGATCACTTGCAATAAGACTGCAGGTCCGTCCTCCCCCACCACCGTGTACCTCTTTCGGAGGTCTTCAGGATGGAGAGTGGAAGGCAGCCGATGTAGCTGAGGTGAATACTTCAGCTCGGTCATTCCCTCGGCTGCCTTCAGCAGCTTTGTGAATAACCCTCTAAGTGAATGCCAGGGCTGTAGTCAGCCTGGCTGGATTATAGTTGGCATTTATCTGGTTAATTCCAGGTGTCTGGCATTGGCTATCAGCCTGGGTGGAGTGTCACTGTATTGTGGGACAGCCAATGAGGGATATTGTAATTGTATGTACAGTGCAGCAGCCAATCACTGGGTTTCTCTCAACCAGTGGTGCATGCTGGGATAGGGTACATACAGTATACTGGAGGAAATTGCAATGTGCTCAGACTAGTTTGGGACCGGCCATGTATTAGCACAGCACTGGGTGTTGTCCAGCCACCCCCCAGACTAGGCCTGAGGGTGGGCAGATGCTGGAGTGTGGGAAGAGTTTCCCTAGGCCTCAAGTATGGAGGAAGCCGGTGCTTTTGTCAGAGGAGAAGAACCAGGGGAGATAATTGCTACTGGAGGTGCCTGGGACATAGTGGACCTCAGGAGCAAGTCTGGTGTCTCTCCTGCTGAAGATCAGTGAGGTGCACACGCATCAGCACAAAGACATACCGCCAGGCACAGCTCTATAAACCAAACCAGGTGCATGCCCATGCGCAGACGCTCGTGCATGGACTCTGGCTCTGGCTCCCTTACATTCTGTCTAGATTTTTTAACGATGAACTATCCACTATATATTTTACAAGCTTCACTACTGCAAGAATCAGCAGGCACATAAACATAAGAATCTAGAGCCTAACTTCACCTATTATTCTAGAACTTATCACAGGGTGAGGCAGAAAAAGCTATTTTTCACTTTCGATGAGGATTCTTCTTCAGGGATGCTTTTCTTGGCTGCCTTAATCTTTTTGATCTATCTGCTTATGGAAAAGAATAAAATATCCTCTGAAGGATTTCTTTTATCAGTTCTTGAAACTAAATTTCTCCTCCAGAATGGTCAGCATAATCAGGCTCACAGTATGCTGCTTGATTAGACTCTAAAGCATTATCACTGTAATTACTATCTTCTTTAGACTTTCCACTAAAGAGGATTTCATTTCCTCTAATGTATTCATCATAGCAGATATGGACCATAAAAATAACTTTTTAAATTGGACATTGTCAGGCAGAATCCTGGCTTAGCTCAAGTGACAGTTATGACCATCAGGCAGCACTTGTTCAGAAGACGTATACAGTGACTTCCTTTTTATTTACTGTTTTTCTTGTAACTGCTTTAAGACAAAGTGAAATGTGATATCTAAAGCACCAAAATATAAAAGCATGTACATGCAGTATAGCTAAAATGTACAATATAAATACAGTTTAAAGCTATTTGTAGAAGATAAAAAACACAAATGAATACAAAGTTGAATTTACTATAAGGCTGTAGCATCAATAAACATGTCAACAGTAACTTTAAAGGCTTAAGACTACCCATAAAGAATGGTACAGTTATGTAGCCTAAACCAAGAATAGAACAATTGATACCAACAATAATTGTTATAATTGTGATACCAATTGTTGTCAAATTCCCAACTGGTACATTTGTGTAGCTGAAAGCAGTGGAAGGTGGGATTTGTCTTCCTTTGGGGACATTTTCTCAAAAAGTGAGGGAAATCCTGTCAAATGATACACAGGTAGCAATAGAAACCTGACAGAGGTTCTAACCCCTCCTTGCTTACACAAAACTAGAAAGAATTCACTGGAAATCCACCTTGCTCCAAGATGTTTTACAAATTGAGAACATCATGAGATGAATACCACCCTTGTCTGATATATAAGCACAATGCACTTCTGTGCAGGAACAGAAGTTTGATCAAATGGAAATCAAAGAGGCAAACCTGCCATTTCTAATCATTGTTTGCTACACTGATATCAGGAAGTGGGCAGAAAAGTCTAAACCTGGCAATAAATATCCTTGACCTACCATGATCCTACTATATGGGGGTGAAAACATTTGCACCTAACATAGTAAGCAACTTTTTACACTGACTGAAATTTTTGAACTACCGGTAGTTAAAAAAAATCTTTGAATTTGTAATTAATTAAATTGACGGATCCTTCGCTCCTCTCACAATATAAGGAAAGAGTGAAACCCACATGCTACATTTTAATCTGTGTGCTGAGTAGCACAAGTATAGCAGTGGGTTATTGGGGAACTTTTACAGAGTCGTCTGGCCCATTTATACTATGTATCTATATCTGTAATTTATACGTGTGTGTGTGTGTATATATATATATATACATAGATTGATAGATAGATAGATAGATAGATAGATAGATAGATAGATAGATAGATAGATAGATAGATAGATAGATAGATAGATGTATTATGAAGCTGGCTGACAGGATTGTGGGGGGGAAAAAACTTTTTGTTTTCTCAGAATCATACCTAGTTCTAGTCTGGGTCCAGAGCCTTTGTAGAGCTTTTGGGTGGGAATACGCCTTCATTCCAAGGTCAACATCATACCTGGCTGTTATATATGCAAGCTGACTGATGCTCACGGCGCTCTCATTCTCTCTGCTCTAAAAGCCTCCTGTTGGGTGAAAATGCTGAGTGCTGACAGAACACTAAAAAGGTACTTATGATGCCTGTTGTGTTGGGAAACCCATTAGGCGGCACCCCGTTTGTCAGGAACTGACAGTCATCTAACTAGTGGCTCAGATGAGCAGATGTTTTGTTTGTTTTACACTCAAATATTTGTTCAAAGGGGATGCTGACCTACTACCGTGTTTCCCCGAAAGTAAGGCCTAGCGCTATCTTCAGGGATTTCTGTAATATAAGACCTACCCCGAAAATAAGACCTAGTTCGGTGGTAAGTCTTATATTACAGAAATCCTTGAAGATAGCGCTAGGTCTTATTTTAAATTGTCAAGACCGGCCACAGCTCCCGCACACACTCCCGCCCGCCAACTTCGACACCGGCAACAGCACGCCGCCTTCCGGGACCTCGTCCAGTCCTGTAAGTACTCCTCCCCCAGCCCGGTACTGTCTGCCGCCGGGACTATCCTGTACTACTACTACTAACACTGCAACATCCTCTGAAAATAAGACCTAGTATTTTTTTTTGTGGGAAAAAAACTATAAGACACTGTCTTATTTTTGGGGAAACACGTTAACTCATGTGGTGCCATCTATGTACTGGTTGGGTTTTTAAACAGGTTAACTTAAAGTGACATTAAACCCTCAGATTTGTTTTACATAAAACAATACTGTAATGTGTGCCTTACTGTAATCCAATCCAATCATCTCCCTGCAGAGAGCCGTGACCGTGAGTCACCGCTACCCGCATGGAATTCCCCCCTCCCCTCTCCGATCCTCCAGCATTGACTGGAGGAATGGACAGAGAGGGGGCGGGCACAGCTAGCTCTGCCTCTAGATAGGTATTGTCGGGATCCCGGCTGCAGCACTCTCAGTATATAGCATGCTGTAGCTCGCTATATACTGAGCTTTGGGTCACAGGAGGTCAGTATATGTCCTCCTGGGGTTCTCTTTTAAGAACTATTGGGGCTCTTAAAAAAGAACCCCATAGTTCTCTTTTAAGTAAAAACTGATGTTTTAAATAAAGTAGTCTGCTTTTGTTTTTTAAGCACATTTTTTTAGTGTAATCGAGCTCAGAGGGAAATTATGCTTCAAAATGTCATATGCAGCAGTTTCACTGCTTTATCAATCAGATTTTTATATTCAAATAAGCATAAAATATAAGGATGGATGGAAAATACTGTACCTCTAATATGCAATGAAAACATTGCTCTTCTACACAAGCCCCTGCAACACACTGCACTGGAATTTATGAAACTACCATTTTCACATCCACTGTTACTAAGTTCTGTAATATAGGCTGGTCAGAAAAAGAATTATTGGAAATGATATTGTTTTGAAGAGCTTTGATTGATACTTTTGAATGATTGCACTCAAAAATTAAAATAAAAAAGTTGAGATGTGGTGTGAATTCTTTTGACCTCGATTGACTTTTTAAATAAATACAGCAGGCATTACTAAATTATAGGGACCAAATCAAGAATACAGAAAAAAAAAGTATTTTGATAACTATTTTCATATACAATGGTACTTCGGCAGGTTTCTTTCCTGACCAGGTGACGCCTAGCTAAGGACCTCCTGCAGAGGGAATCGAAGGACTACATCTCCCGGCAGGCTTTGCGCTGCGACGTGGTAACCAAGATGGCGGAGACAGCGACGGCTGTGAGTGGTTCGAGCAGCTCCGGAACGGTAATATTCACATTGGTGATAAACATATTAACATGGACCGTGAGTTCGGCGATCATTACGTTTCCCTTATCGATACGCGAGTGTCTGGTGACATTCTGAACTGTTTAATGAGCTTATGGTGGGAGGCAGAGCGATATGGTCACATGAGCGGAGGTGTGGCCTGAGCTGGCCTGTGCTCAGGTCTTTGCTTTCCGTACACAGTTTGCAGCCTTCTGTATATTACGACGAGCGGTAATGGTGTTGCCCCTAGCTACGAAGCATGTGTGAGGTCTCGTCACCAAAGCAGACTTTTCTCATTGCCGTGTGCATTATTACTTCACTTTCCTTTGCTTCAGGTTCATGTCTCTGTACATGGAAAGTGAATACTAAGAAAAAAGGTGGAGGACAGATATGTTTAAATAAAATGGAAAGGAGGACCACTCTATGCCAAATTAAAGGAGAGTTGATTTTGTTAAGTTGGCCATAACATAGCAGTTTCTTATTTTTGGTCAAATATAAAAGATGCGGTCACGTCGGGTAAATACCGTAATACACTACAGTACCCCAAAAGGTGACACTTAAAAAGCTTTTACTGCTCATGAGTTTAGTGTTAAGTGACTGATGGCACTAGAATTATTGCTCTCATTCTGACGTTTGTGGCGATATGTAGGGCGGAATTCCCCCCGAGGCCCGGCTTGGGGGCGAAAAGGGAGCAGAGGGGCGGCAGCGATGTGGAATCCCCTGACACCCGGTAAGTTGTTTTCTACATTTAGCCCTGCTTTGTGAAAGCAGGGCTAAATGTAGTGTGAGTGAAGCCGCCGGCGATCACTTGTAAACAAACCCCCCGCACCCACCCCTCTCCTCACTGGCTCCGTCCTCTCCGGCCGCCGAGTCTCTCTCCTCACTGGCCGCCGATGCAGGGAGCAGAGCGGCAGGGTTCAAATTAAGCCCTGCTGCTCCGTGTGAACAGTGAAAAGGGAGAGCTGTCTTCCCCTCTCGCCTGTCACAGGACTTCCAGCACAGTGTTGTGCTGGAACTCCTGCCCTGGAGGTGACAGGGTCAATAATGAGAACCTGTCACCTCCAAATGCTATCACGCAGGGGCTTGTTAGCTCCCGTGTGACAGCGATAAAGTTAAGTGAATTTTTTTTTACTAAAAATAAATATAAATTAAAAAAAATAAGTAGAAAATAATAATTCAATAAAAAATATTAAAAGGTGATTAAAAAGTAAAAAATTATAAGAAAAAAAATTATTGAAACAATAAGAAAATAATTATAAAAAATAAAAAAAAGTAAACGATCAGATAAATAGGGGGCGCATTGTGGAACCTGGCCTTTGGGCTGCAGGGAGAGTAAAGGTGCCCATACATCTTACAATTATCTACAGATTTTCTGAGGTCAGATGGAAAAAGTGCAACAGATTGGCCCAGGTGGAGATTACTCCATCCACACAGTTAAGTGTAGATGGAGGAATCTGTTGCACCTTTTCCATCTGACCACAGAAAATCTGCAAATAATTGTAAGGTGTATGGGCAGCTTAACCTGTATATCAGAAATTTCACCAGCACACCAGTGTTCAAAAATAAAGCGTCTTTTATTTACGCATATTTGTCACATGAAGAAAATGCAATGTTACGGGTCCCCTTTATTAGGGGACCCCAAAGAAGCTGATGAAGCAGCAATTTGCTTCACCAGCTTCTTCTCCTGGCTGCAGGAGCCAGAGAATGTATATAGTGACACCGGAAGTGATCACTTCCAGGTACAGTGATCGGAGGGCGATCAGCAGCTAGAAGCTTGCTGATCTCCCTCCGAGATCGATGCAGGGAGGCCCACCCGGGGCAGGGGGGGGGGGGGCACACACACATTCCGCTGCACTGTACAGGCAATCACTTGTATCTAAACAGCCATCGCCGGCTGTTTAAAATGATAACAAGACCACAGCTGCAGCAGCAGCCACAATCTTGGTATAATTACTTCAGGACAGGGCGTTTTTTGACAGTGAGCGGTCCTGAAGTATTTCATGTATGTAGAGTAATGTGGTTATTGTAATCATTTTCCTTTATTTCAGACCAGCGTGTTTTGGCCTATGTTCCCACTATGTGAGGTAACCTGCATTTTTCTGCACCAAAAAAAAAAACCCCACAGGTCTCATAGAAAACATTTTTATATTCTATGTGTCCCGTTGACATCTCAATGCTGGTGTGATGTGGCCTTCTGAAAAATTCTAACATGCTACATGTTTCACCAGTGCACTTGATGGCACTGCAAGTCATGACACCGCTGCTGTGCAGAGACCTCAATGGAGCGTACACTTTGTACACTCCAAATAAAGTTAAAAAGTATACCGTGCAATGTGCTGTAACAACGCACCACACTGCCCGACCTGTCACTGCGTACTAGCCCACATGCTAAAACTTAATGTTTTAGTGGGCAGGCTAGTGTGAACGATACGTTCACACTAGCCTGTCCACTAAAACGTTAGAGCAATCCCTCATTTTTGTATGGGCGTCACCAGGACTGGAAGCGAGAGAAAGTCTCCCCAACAGAGTCACAGATAGAAATAAAGACTTGACATACACTGACTGGCCACTTTATTAGGTACACCTTGCTAGTACCGGGTTGTACCCCCTTTTGTCTTCAGAACTGCCTTAATTCTTCTTGGCATAGATTCAACAAGGTGCTGTAAACATTCCTTAGAGTGTTTGGTCCATTTTGACATGATAGCATCACGCAGTTGCTGCAGATTTGTCAGCTGCACATCCATGATGTGGATCTCCCGTTCCACCACATGCCAAAGGTGCTCTATTGGATTGAGATCTGGTGACTGCGGAGGCCATTGGAGTACAGTGAACTCATTATCTATTCATGAAAGCAGTTTGAGATGATTTTAGCTTTGTGACATGGCAAGTTATCCTGCTGGAAGTAGCCATCAGATGAGTACACCGTGGTCACAAAGGGATGGACATAGTCAGCAACAATACTCCAGTAGGCTGCGGCATTTAAACAATGCTCAATTGGTACTAAGGGGCACAAAGTGTGCCAAGAAAATATCCCCCACACCATTACACCACCACCAGCAGCCTGAACCGTTAATACAAAGCAGGATGGATCCGTGCTTTCTTGTTTTTTTTACGCCAAACGCAATCATCCAAATGTTGCAGCGGAAGTCAAGACTCCTCAGACCAGCCAAGGCTTTCTAACCTTCTGTTGTCCAATTTTGGTGAGCCCTTGTCATTTGTAGCCTCCGTTTCCTGTTCATAGCTGACAGGAGTGGCACTCGGTGTGGTCTTCTGCTGCTATAGTCCAGCTGCTTCAAAGTTGTGCATTCAGAGATGCCCTTCTGAACACGTTGGTTGTAACGAACAAGTCTGCCCATTCTCCTCTGGCATCAACAAGCCATTTTCGCCCAGAGAACTGCAGCTCGCTGTATATTTCCTCCTTTTCAGACCATTCACTGCAAAACCCAAGAGATGGTTGTGTGTGAGAAATCCTGGTAGATCAGCTGTTTCTGAAATACTCAGACCAGCCCGTCTGGCAACAACAAGCAAGCCACTTTCAAAGCACAGCAATTTGGTGCTCTGTGCTGCCATGCGGTGACCTGTGGTGGCATATAGGGTGCTGCAGTAAAATACAGCATGTTGGCATTCTATTGCAGCCCCCGTCCATCACGCCGGTGTTGTGGTGTGAATGAGACGCATAGAAAACAATTGTTTTCTATGTGGCCTTGTGGTGGCCTACGTTGATCCGGTGAGGTAAAATGTAGGTCACCACAGTACAAAAGACGCCTTCAGGTGTTCAGTTGTAACAACACCTCAAGGTGCTTGCAATTTACATGACAGTTTGCTGTAAATAAGTTTTAGTTTGCCATCACTGCAATGTTGTATTGTTATTAGAATGATTACATTAGATGATTATTATTCATAATGAGTTGCATTACTCATCAGCTTTGTAAGTGAGTTTTAATTTTAAGGTAACTGTTCTTTCTCTTCAGCGGTCCTGTGGCCGTGGTACCTCCACACCTGCTGATAACTACTTGCTTGCTCGTAGGCGAACCCTTCAGGTAGTTGTGAGTTCTTTGCTCACAGAAGCTGGGTTCGAAAGTGCAGAAAAAGCAGCTGTGGAAACACTGACGGAGATGGTACAAAGTTGTGAGTATGATTCAAGCATTCTAGAAATGCATTAAAGGCAGAGTAATTATGGCTCTTCAGAGAGTTTCTAATGTTACGTGGAGCATCATGTACTTGTTTGGTCATGGACATGGTATTATGAGAGCAATTGATGCTTAAGAAAGTCATGTCCCTTGCAAACTGTTTGAAGCATATTAAAGGACATTCTTTAGGCCACATGCAGATGGGGCTATTAGCTGCAGGTTCCTGTTTTGGATTCTTTTGACAGGAATCACAGCTAGGTCCGTACATTACCTGCGGTTAGGGATAGATGATTGCCACTGTTCAGCCTGCATCCAGGGACAATTGTCTATCCCTAACCACAGGTTACGACTACATTCTGACAGCTTCGGACAAATGCGGCCGCTGTCAGTCTGTCACTCACTTGAAAGGGGAGAACAATTACAGCTGTACTGACCCACCTTTGAATCTGCAGGTTCTTGCTGCAACCATATGCATGTGGCTTAACACTCCTTTTCTCATGTGCTTTACGCACGACATACATTTATTAATATAGGAGGTTCATTTTTAAACATTCTGGGGGGAAGCCGTTCGCATCAGCACCCCTGGATTGCACCAACGAGTATAGAAAATTCCTATACTTGTCAGTGTCATCTAGGGGCGCTAGTGCCGTGCGAACAGCATAGGCAGGCAGAACTTTTATAAATGAGCCCCGAAGTGTGGTTTTGTGACTTTCTGTGTTCAGTGGTTGTGAGCTGTTGTGATCTGAGACCATCTTGTAGATACTGATCCAGATGAAGCAGTTTTTGGTATGCCATTAGGATACTCTGTAGGACATTCATAAGTATAGAGTCTTCCTTAACATGCTGAAGAAGTCCTATCTCCTGCTAAGGTAGGCAAAGGGGAGTTTACATCAACATACTACAACTGTATCCATAACTCCACTGAGATAATCTTGATAGGAAATTCTAATGCTTTTGTGACAGTTTTATTTATTTTTTGTTTAAATTATTACTTTACTTTTACTGAAGTTGTCATTTAAACGTTAAAAAAAGATACGTTTAAAAACCAAAAACTTTGTGAAGTTGTCCTTTAAATGTTCCTCCGAACCTCATCGGTTAAAACAACAAAGATTTATATTCACTGTGTAGCACTGCACATACTTTTTAGTGAAAAGTCCCGGCTGCGTCCACTCCTATGACCCATATGTGACACTCGCTCCACTTATTCCTTACGGCTGGTCTGTACTTATAGTGGCCCCGAGTCATGCTGAGGAGTACGGACACAGTCAGAAGAATGAACGGGACAAATCACACATATGCGTAGTAAGAGCTGAAAGTTGGAAACATGAAATCATACTATCTATATACTCTATTGGATGTATGTGTATTTATTCGTCTTCATATTTACTTGACAAAAAGCAAATTAATATAAAATGAAGCATTTAATTTTTTTAAACGGAACAAATTACATAACTAAAGAAAATATATGAAAAACATACCTTTTGTGGATAATGATAGCAAGCAACATTGAATGAACATAAAAAAAAGCATTTAGACAAATGATTGTAAGGCCTGCTCAGCATTCATAGCCATACTGATTTATTGATTCCATTGTCACAGATTTATCGGAGATTGGGCGCAGTGCAAAATCATTCTGTGAACATACAGCACGGACACAGCCTACTCTACCCGATGTAGTTGTCACACTTATAGAAATGGGTAAGTAGTGCCGAGCAACTTTCATTATAATAGCGTGGTTTGTTCTTCTACTGACGTAGTATGTATTCCCAGGTTTTAATGTGGACACGTTACCAGCATATGCCAAGCGCTCTCAGAGGATGGTGATAACGGCACGTAAGTTTTTGTGTCATTTTATGGAGTGCATCAATTTTTCTGTTTCAGTCAGAATAAGGAACCTTCAAATATCAACATTTACTGGCCTGTATGGGTACATTTTTGAATCCAAACTTAGATATTTCTGAGGGATTCCATGTCATTGTTGTAATATCACGATAATTGCCTTTAACCCTTTCTCTGCCGGGGCCTGCCCTCCATTTTTCATCTCAATGGTTGTACCATTTTCTTTACCTTTTTCTGTAATTTTAGATTATTTTTCAATGACAGCTTTGATATTTTGTAATACATTCAAACCTGTCTTCCTTTATTGCATGGGGGTTGGGGTATTACATGTTTGTTCTTGGGTTTAGACATCTTTTAATTAAAATGAAACTTTATGACATTACAGATACATCTGCAACAACATATTGGTTTTACATGTTTGGCTTTAGATATGAAGCATATTCCTTTCACACACAGGAATCGGCCATATGGTTAAGGGCTTGTTCACACGATTTTCTGGTCCAGATCTGGAGACGCGGTGCTATGCATGCAGTGGTTGGAGTGGGGCTATCATAATGTTAGCTGCAGCGCGTTTTCGTTGCGTTTTTGACGCGTTCGTGCATTACCAGACAAAATGTGACATGCAGTATTTTTTCTGTCCGGACCGGAAGGGACTGCGCTGGTGAGAACTGGAGCCCATAAAACGCATAGGGATACATTGGGATGCATTTTGGGTGCATGAGCGCACGCATCTGGTCCGGACAGAATCCGGACGTCGTGTGAACAAGCCCTTAAAGGGCGCTGTAACGACTTCTGACTGGTCATGCTGTACAACATGGATAGGATATGTCACCACCACACCACCAAGCTTGTTTCACAAGCCAAAGCTCCTTTTATTGCCTGATCACTTAGCGAAGAACTGTTTTGGGGCCGTGCAGCGATGCTTTATTAGGCATTTAAAAGTTTAAGCATAGGATTTTATCATGATGGTCAGATTTTTGAAGCATAACTTTGGGAACAAGGGGAATCATGCAAATCTGTTAGGTAGTCTTACATCCAAAACTTGAAAAATGTCCTGTGTGCTCAGTTGCTGATGGTTTTGTCTTTCTTCACAGCCCCTGTGACAAATCATCCTGTTGCCCCAAAAGCTTTAAGTGCAGGGCAAAACAAGCCACATCCAGCACACATTCCAAGTCATCTCCCAGAATTTCCAGATCCACACACTTACATCAAGACTCCGGTAAGAATATTAGTGGCATTATTATCCTTTTATACGTATATTACAAACAAGTATAGCACAGCAACTTACATTGAATAAAGAACTATGAATTGTGAACAACTGCATAAACATGACGTGAGAAGAAAAGGACCTTCTGAATGAACATACTCTCTACAAGGTGGTGGAACACTGTGTATTGTAGGTACAATGATTAGGTTACAGAAAAGGATGGAAGGAGTTTATCTGGAAAGAGGTGGGTTCGTTTAAACCTATTGTAAGTTGAGTGAGTCTTAAGGGACCTATAATTGAACTGCAGGGAACAATGGCTCCTCACAATAAATAATGCAGTACTTCTTTGACCTGAAGAGAAAGGGGCATATATACTGCATTAGTAGTTTACAGGGCGAAGCATAGGAACTTGGATTTCGGGTTCAATGGAAGCCAATGATGGCACTGGTCTAGAAGACCACCAGTAAGGAGAAGTGGTAGGTTTAAAAAAAAAGGCTTTCAGGAAGCATGCATGATACATTGTAGTGGTCTTTGTGGAAGACCAGACAGGAGATGGCAGTAGTTGAGGTGAGAAATTATGATGGTAGGTACTATGAAGGGAAGTATTTTGGAGATGTTGTGGAAGTGACAGGCTTGGAGATCATCTGGATATGTGGAATAACAGAGAGGGACAAGCAGAAACACTGGAATAGGTTAAATGGCAGTATAATTTACAGTTAGATGTTTGTAATGTGAACGTGAGAAGATCATTCTCTGTTTTTTCCAGTTTAGGTTCCTCTTTGGCATCGAGAAAGATGGCTACAAGTCAGCTGGAGATGCTTGTTGGGACTGCCCATACACCTTACAGTCTGTCTGTATAATCTGTTTTAGATTTACCAACAACAATTTACATAACTATTGTTGGTTATCTATACATAACTATATAGTTGCTGGTAAATCTGAAGATGATTAATAGTAATTATACAGTCATATTGTAATGTGTGTGTGTGTGGTCAGCTAAGGAGAGATCGGGCTGACTAGGTGGCTATGAGTGCCGTCTGTACATTGATGGTATTGGATGCCACAGAAATAGATTAGGTGGTGGTGTAGGTATAAGAAGATAAATAGGAATAAGATAAAGCACTATTTAAGCAGATCATGAAGAACTATATATGTATGAGGAAAGCCATGAGAGGGCACAGTCCTCAAAGTTCGTAGTTTGTGACTGCCAGATAATAGTTATCAGAGTGAAAAGGAAAAGCTCTTATAAGTCAGCTTTTGCTTTGAGGAGGTCAGGCACCATGTTTGGGTTACATATTTAAGCATGCAGGGTAAAGAGGAATAAGCATTGAGTTAGGTGTGACATATAGGATCAGGTTAGTCTGTTATAGCAGAGCCATTCAAGCAGTTTGGATGCACGTAAAAGAATAGTAATGAGACTGTAGGTACACAATAGGAAAGGTTCAGGAAACTCAATCAATGAACAGCAGAAATAAAAGAAAAGAAGGTGTGCATGTTTGACAAGGGGTATGTTGGTGTGTTAAATGTATATAAAAAAGAACATACAGTCATGAAAATGTACACCTTATGGAAATTGATGGCTTGTTTGAAATGTTGAAGGTCAACAATTTCCATGGGTTGTCCTTACTTTTTCTTATGACTGTATAGGAATGTAAATATGCCGTGTAATGTCTGTGAGGGAAATGTGAACAATGACTTTACCTTCAAGGACAAGGCTTAATACACAGTTGAAATACAAGTGTATCTGCCAAAGAATGTGGAATTCCGTCCAGCCATTTTTATGTTTCATACACCTTTGCCAGGCAGCACAGCCGGAAGGGCGACACCACTTCACTTTGCAATAGCTTTTATTGTTTCAAAAGTGTATGTAAACCCTGAATCCCATTTTCAGGATTTATTGTACACTGTTTTTTGGGGGTTTTTTTTTAAGTGTATTTCTACATTTGCAGTCAGATTTGAGAACCCCCCATTATATGTTTCCCATTCACACAGCATACCTAAAAATATGTTTTAAAAAATATTTCATAAGTTTTTAGTTGTTTCTTTGGCTCAGGATTGTACACAGGACTGCAAGTTCTTCTCAGCAATTTCAGAGGGACAATTAGGGATATAGTCCGTTTCCCCTCATTAACTTACAATGCCATGAGAACTTCAACAGGACAGACGGTGTTGCAATTGAGCTTACAACTGATAATATGATCGATCAGCACAGAGCACACAGGGTTAATTACTCCCCAAACCAAATCTGAAGCATTTTTAAGCGAGTAGAAACTACAGATCAAACAAATATACATTGCACTGTAAAGTGTTTCTTTCCAAAGCACTTGCAATCATCATGTTTCTAAATAGCTGGCACAAACTCTCTCAGCTCGGCTTCCCTGAACTTCCTTTCCCGTACAAGATCACAAAAGACAGCACAGTCTCCAGCATCTGTCCATCTACTAGCTTCGACAAGGGAGGAGGAGGGATTTATTTGCTGTGCTTGTATGTTTGCTAAGACCTTCAGAGCTTACTAGCATACACACAAAAGTGGCTCCATAGGACCCTGCAAGGGAAAGGACCCATCCTAAATCCAGACCAGCTGATTCTGCAGATAAAATTTATAAACATCGGTCAGCAGAATCCATTGTAAATGATTAAATCGGCATTAGAAATAGCTTAAAACATTTTGACTTTAATCTAACTTTAGGTTTTGCTATGTGAATGGGAACATGTTACAAATATGGGTGTTATTGTAATTGGGCTGTAAACGTGGAAATACACTTTAAGCATTTTTTTTTTTTTTTGTAAATCTGTTGCAAAGTTTCTTGCCTGGCGATCTTGTGGGTTCTTATCGAAGTGGCAGGATTAGTGATTCTGTTAAACTGCATTGCTGGAAGCGGCCCTGTTGGGCAGAGGGTTTTATGGAAGAGACAGAGAAGAAAAATGTACAGTTTTACCATATGTTATTCTTGCTGCAGACCTGTAGAGAACCAGTGGGAGATTACCAGGTCCTAAGAGAGAAAGCAGCATCTCAGCGTAGAGATGTGGAAAGAGCACTAACACGATTTATGGCGAAGACCGGCGAAACCCAGAGTCTTTTCAAGGATGACACCAGCATTTTCCCATGTAAGACAGCAACTGTTTTTTTACTCCAACCAGCTCTTTGGATTTATTTGTAATCCACAACCCTTTGTTTTTATTATTTATTATGTTTGGTTTATTTTCTTGTGACAATGCAAGCAGAAGTGCAATATTTTATTTTTTCTTCCTCTCCAGTGATTGCTGCTCGCCCTCTATCCATCCCATATTTGAATGCCCTTCTCCCATCAGAATTAGAGCTGCAGCAAGTAGAAGAGACTGATTCTTCGGAACAAGATGACCAGACTGATACAGAAAACCTTTCTATGCATCTACATGCGGTATTGTATTTTGACAATCTGATTTGTGGCTTTCTTGACTTTTTTTGTCTTCCTTTTAGCTTTCAATACTGTAATATATTTACATTTCAATTTACCAGTATTCACCAGTTGCCTTAACTACTTGCTGACCGGAGTGTTAAACTCCCTTCCTGTCCCGGCCATTTTTCAGTGTTAGGGCTGCGGTACTGACATTTATTCCGTCATGCAACGCTGTACTGAAATTAATTTTATACCATTTTTTGGGGGACAGATAGAGCTTTCTTTTGGTGGGGTGGGGGACTTAACTTTATTTCTGCCAAAAAGAAGTTTATGTAGTTTTTACAGCGACAGGCGGTTTGCTTATTGCAAAAAAAATGCTCGGGTGTGAACAGGGACCATAGGAATGTGGGATTTTTTTGTGAAGCATTTTGTTGTGCATATTCAGCTGCAACAATATGCTAGGTGTGAACCAGGCCTACTAATCATCCCCTTCCCCTCACAGGGGAGGAAGGAGAAGGGGGTCAATGGAATAATTGTAGAAAGGGATTAGAGAAGGGCAAAAGCAGATTCAAAGTGGGAGGTTTTAATACATTTTATTGTGGCATCGTTTAAAGTTTTTACCCCCTTTCTCTCCTATAAGTATCAGCTGTATATCTCCATATGTGACCTGTATATTACTGCCTTCACTTCTTATCCTGCATGATAACCCCTTCATCTCCATCATCCCACTATATGTGACCTTTACATTAACACTTTCACCCCGTCCTCCCCTCTCTGTGTATGACCTGTATATTGTATGTATGTATTTATTACACCACTAGCAAGATCCATGTTTTAATGAAACCTGTTCTAAAAAAAATCAACCATTGATGACCACCTGAAAATGCTGTCTCTGGATTTATTACTTTGTTAGTCACTGTCCCAAACAGGCATGCAGATCAAGAGAGTAAAGTCACATCCCAAGCTGTGTTAAGGTTTAGTGATTGAGATAGTAATGAAGACTCTGTATAAGCATGACATCCAGTTGATAAGTATTTATCATCCTCCATATTTCCTATCTATGACTCTCTTTTAAGGAATAAGCCACCTCAATACCAGCATGTTTCTTAATTTCCAAATTTCGCAAGAATTAGATCACTTTGGTGTGTCTACTTTAAATATACTCTCAGTATATAGCGGGTACTGAGAGCGCCGCAGCCAGGACGGATCCCGAGAATACTGTCGAGATCTGCCCTGCTGGCTGATTGACAGCGGGCTCTAGCAGAGCCAGCTGTGCCCGCCCTCTCTCCGGCCGTTCCTCCAGTCAGCGCTGGAGGATCGGAGATGCGAGAGGGGAATCCCTGTGGAGAGCGGTGAATCTCCCTGCAGAGAGTCACCGCTCTCTGCAGGGAGATGATCGTGAAGTGAGTAGGCGGCGATATGTTTTTGCTCACTTCCCGATTAATAGAGCCGACACAGCTCTAACTATGGGGATGAGTGTAATTCACTAACCTCATAGTTCTCCTTTAACATAGCTCACATTATTGCCCCTTCTCTCTCTGTAAAATAGGTTTTTCAAAATGTGTTGATTGCTAAATTATTTGTTTTTTTTTAAATGTAGCTTTTCTATGTTCATTTTTCCATCTTAACAGGATGATCCTGGAGAAGAGAAGGAGAATTCATCAGTTCTTCAGCATAGCTCACTAAAAGGTGGTGAAGAAACCCTGATTGATAATCCCTATTTGCGGCCTGTGAAAAAGCCAAAGCTGAGGCGAAAAAAATGACAGCATTATGGTCAAGGGGATAGCCTGGGAATCCGGGCATGCTGTACACACAGACTGGTGGGCCTGCTCATGTTCATTATAGACATATTATGGACAGTTGGGCAGTTGCTGAAATATTGAGTTGCCTTTTCAGCAAATACAGTCTCAGTGGAAGGCTTACTAATGTTTGTCCAGCTTCTTGTAGGACAGACCTCAGCACTGCCTTATTTATAAAGAGTTTTGCTGGTGCTTAAAGAAGCAGTGCTTCTTTTTGTTTTGTTAAGGGCACAATGTTCAGTTTATTGGATTTATTCATTGCAAAGGGATTATGTGTTAAATTGATATGAGATTTATTGCAGGAATGTGATATGAACTCAACATAATTGGCACACTTTAAAGAGACCTTGTCATGTTATAACAATGAAACCAAGCACATACCTGTAAAGAAGATAGTCATGTCATGAGGTCAGAGAAGGAAACAGTGACTCCTGAAGTCCCCTGAGAGGTGCAGGTGGCAGAGAAGTGTAAGTGTACCCTCTTCTTTACAGTTATGTGCTCGGATTAACAAAATGGTATAATGTAACATGGTCTCTTCAATCTAATGTAATAAGGCTAGTTGTTGTTTTTTTTTTTTTTAAAGTTTATCCACAAAGGAAATTATTTGTAAAAAAAAATAAAAATGTTCTCAAGAAAAAAATATTCTTGTTTTCAATTTATTTCTATTTCTTTCTTTTTTCTGACCTTGTCAAGTGTATGTAATAAAAATAATGCAAATAGTTTGCATGTTCTCCCTGTGCTTGCATGGGTTTCCTCTGGGAACTCCGGTTTCCTCCCACACTCCAAAGACATGCTGGCAGCTTAATTGGCTCCTGTCTAAATTGGCCCTCCTATGTATGCAAGTGAGATAGGGGCCTTAGATTGTAAGCTCTTTGAGGGCAGGGACTGATGTGAATGTGAAGTGCTGCGTAAATTGTCAGCATTATATAAAATACCTGTTATAAATAAATATTTATTTTGTTGCAGCAGGAAACATGGCTGAATACAGTTTTTTTTTCCCCTCAGCACCTTCAGAGCAATTTGTCCTTATAGAAAGAAATAGGATTGAAATTTGAGCATGGAGTCGGCTTCCCGGCCAATCAGGAAGCCAGATAGCGGGTAATGGCCCGGCTTCCTGATTGGCCGGAAAACCTGGCTCGATGCTGATTGGCTTCCCAGCCAATCAGCATCAAGCCTGCCAATCAGACAGCCAAGCAGGGAGTAATGACCCGGCTTCCTGATTGGCTGGGAAGCCGGCTCCATACTGACTGGCTGGGATGCCGGCTCGATGCTGATTGGCTAAGCAGCCGGCTTCCCGGCCAATCGGCATGGAGCCAGCCCAACAGCATGAAGCCGCCTTCCCGGGCAATCGAAGCCGGGTGGTGGGAAATGACACGCTGCCTGGCTTCCTGATTGCCCAGGAAGCCGGCTCCATGCCACCGGAAGTTTCTGTATCGTTATATAAATATCGGTACTCGATAGCGAAAAAACGGTATCTGTGCATCCCTATTAATAACATACAAACTCCTCACAGCTTCTCCTATGTAATATAAAATAAATAATCTGCGCTTCTGGAAAAAGGGCTAGGATAAATATATAATATTAATTGAAACCTAAAGCAGCTATGAAAAAAGGATAAAGAATCCTTTAAGTGATCCAAAAAATATATCAAAGGGCTAGAGGTGTGGGTGGTATAGAACTTGGTGCAACCAAGTAATACAGTGACAGTAAGGATTAAGCAATTTGGCTTATACCCAACAATAAACAATTCAAAAGAAGGTCCTACATGTGATCTTGGAAAAAAGGAAAAACTAAAGAACTCAATTGTATCAAAAGAACTGTGAAACACAAACCAGCATTGAGACAACAAAGAAAATTAGCCACTATGTGAAAATCTCTTACCTAGTGATAGTAAGAGATGTTAATGGGTACTCACCAAATGGAGTTGGCCAACTACCAACTCCATTTGGTGAGTACCCACCCAAGAGGGGCTGTCGGACTACCGCTGAAATATACCATCAACAATCTTTTTCCCTGTACACGTTTTCTATGGCTTTTTTTTATCTCCCACTGAACACTGCACTCTGATGTTTTAATATATTTTTTTGTGTGGATCGTTCACATATTGTTATATATTGTTCATAGACCTCTTAACAGGTCATCATGTTTTTCTAAACTTTTTTTTGATTATTTAAAGCAATATTTTATTACATCTGATTAACATCTGTTACTATCACTAGGTAATAGATTTTCTCCTATGTAATGTTAGGAGGGGCTAGGTAGAAATTTTAACCCTTAAGAAGCCAAGAAACCTTAACGCAAGTAAAAGTAATTTTAAATTGCAATCATTTTTTAAATATTTTTTTTTAGCTTAGGCTATGTGAATGGGAACATGTAACAAATTTAAAATATCATTATCTCAATTTGGCTGCAAAAGTGGAAATACACTTTAAATGTTTGCTTTGGCTTAAACCTTTGTCCCAAGGTCACAACAGCTAGTAAGTTGAAATCTCACCACAGTAAGTGTAAATCACCTCTTAGCCAGTTGTCACTGGAACAGATGTCCCCCATCGAAAGATTTCTCTTCAGCTCCTCTTTTGGTGTCAGTTGTGAAATTTTGGGTTTTGCATCAATCTCTGTGCTGGTCACAGTGGTCACCAAGACAGATCTGTTCCTTAAGCTATCCAAAACCTAAAGATACTTCAGGTTGGTCGTAAACTGACAGATAAATCCCAAAGAGAGGAAATGGGTGAGGAAATATTTCTCTCCTCAAGATACCCATTTCAGCACTGTGACATGTTTTCTGAAATAAAACAACTTAAAATATCTCAAATGGACAGTTTTCAATTGCAAAACTTTGACTTTACTTTTTATATGCTGTGACCTTTCTGCCTTTGACTTGGGTCCTTCTCATTACACTCCATTCCACCCCTCACAAGAGAGGATGGAAATGTATTTAACCTGTTAATGTTACCATATGTTCAATAAACTTTCTTTATGGGAAAAGGAAGTGGAAATGTAAGGGCCATGTCACACTTCCGATTTTGTAGCCGCAATTAGTGATTTGTACCTAGCTATGTAATCATAGTCGCAGGTTATTTGTTTCTAAAGCTATTTTTTTATTTCATTTATTCAGTGACACAACGGTGATCTTAAATCTCTGACCATTGGTTGTAGTGCCACCTACAGGAGTAGGACACTAGGCAAAAAGCACAGTCTCAGGGCAGACCCTGAGGGTGGCCAAACCTCAGATTTCTGCCTGGTACCAAAGAGTAAGGACTTCAGCTCCCTGCTGCAAATCTTGACCCCCTTTCTTTTTGCAGGGACTATTTTTATTTTAGTTTTTCAGACCTCCAAGAAACAGCTGAGCCGGGTCACAAGCTGGATAATCTAGATAATTGAAGTCCCCCCAGCACAGACTAAGAGCACATGTAGTATCTTGTGTTATGTGCAGGTTTAGCTGCAATGGTCCTATCATGAATTGGGGCAGCCTGTGAGATATCTCATGAGAGGCATCAATGACTGATTTTGTGACTTTGTCACAGTCCCCCCTAGGCAGCCTGCTTTTGCAGGAGGTGGTCTGTCACAGGTAATGTAGCCCCTTTTCCTCTTATCGGGATGTAGTAAGTATACACCTCCTGTCCCCTTATTCTTCCTGGGTACCCCTTTTCCCTCTTCCCTCCTTGGTGTGTGCCTGAGTGGTTCTTGGTACAGTACACTCTGAACAGGATGCACATACTGTATGACCAGTTGTTCCAACCAGCCAGTCATCTCAGGGTGTTATTTGGTGTGGGCAATATCAACATTCACTCCTGCAGGTTGTATGTGGTTGGGCTGTCCAGTGATTGAGGCTGCAGCTTCCAGCCTACTGGAGCTGAAAGCCACAGTTGCCATGTTAACATTGGGCAACACAGCAAAACATTGAGGGAGTCATGTAGTGCAGCTACCTGTCTAGAATACCATTAAGGCCCTAAAACTGCTCCTTTCCATCCTGTGCACACGTTCTGCGTGTGTGTTCTGCATGCACATTTGAAGACACCTCTTTAATGTTTTACACTAAAGGTTTCGTGGTCCAGTACCCATTTGAGGAGTACATTGCTGAGAAATGAACTATTCCTTCTGTTGAGTGGCTGTCCCACCTTAAAAAAGAATTGTTAATTCAAGTGGAGGATGCACCAGTATTTGAGGATCCCTTAGAGCAGTGGTTCTCAACCTGTGTACCCTCGGGACCCACATTTGTCCTTGGTCATTAAGTCGCGACCCAAGTCGCACTGCAATGGAATGCAAGGTATTAGGGTACCACACGTTCCGGTGTGGGCATACGAACTGTGGGTGGGAGGTGCCTTTGGGGTACCATTCAAATGAATGGCAACGCAACACACCTCTCACACCAGAGTGCACAATAGGTGCAATTGCATGGTACAGTGCGTTAATCGCACAGTACTATGCGATTAACACACTTTACCAGTGTGAATGAGCCCTCAAAAACACTGACATACTGTACATGCACCACCACAGACACAATCTCACACACTCACATTCTCACACACACACTTTTTTTTTTCAAGGTCTACTCAGGCTCTCTACCTTATGAGAACTGAAGTGGATCATCAGCCTGGGATCCAGTGTGGGCTCCTGTGCCGTGACGGAGCTCCATCTATATGTGCATTGCTTGTACAGCTCCTTTGCGTGCCCTGTAGAGGTGCCGGGAGCCAGAATGTGATGTCACTCCAGTCCAGGTGCCTCTATAGAAGGAGCTGTAAGCAATGTACATATGGATGGAGCTCCCTCACGGGCATAGCCTCATCCCACCTCAAGCTGACGCTCGGTGCCGGGCAGCATATTTTGAAAGGCTGCTTGTCGCGAGAACTGACAATGCTGCGCTAGGGGGAGGCATGCGGCAACCCACTGAACACAGGGTCGCGACCCACTTTTGGGTCACGACCCACCAGTTGAGAACCAAGGCCTTAGATAATCTCTGGACATTCCCTTCAAAAGCTTGTTTTT